TAAAACTTAATGCCGAATAAAACCTATTTCGACGTTCCCTTGAAAAAAAGTCAATTATGAACTTAAAATTAAACAGAAAATTCGCCCATTCAACATACCAATTTGTAGGATTGTAATCCTACATACATAAGTAAAAAATGATCATAATAGTAATTGAAAATCTATTTATTAAATTAGTTATAACATGTAAGTTAGCCAGTTAGTAACAACGCAGAACTTCGTACATACGTGCATCAGTTACAGCTGCCAGACCACATTAGCACATAGATACAATTGTTGATTCGAATCCCGTAGTGGTAGAGGTAGTAAAAGTATAAGCAGTAATCAGAATGATTAGAGTTTGAAGATGTTATTCAAGGATTAGAATCCAGTGAAATAACTTTCGAAAGAGAAAAATAAAAAAAGGACATGAAGAATTCAGAAGATTAGAATTCGGGAGAACACAAGGAATGGATGCACGTGAGCCATTGCAAATGATTTTGAGCCATTTCATTCAAGGTCTCTAACCATCGGTTGCTATCATCTCGTGGATCCCAATCAAGTAGTCTACACCTACCAGCATGACTCAGTCCACTTGTCAGTGACTTCATGGATTTGTGTCATGTTTTGGTTTGGTCGCCCCTTGTTTTCTTCCAACCTACTCCAACACCAGAAAACATCTCACGTCGGGGCAGTCGGTGGTTGGCCATACGTAACACGTGTCCCAGTCATCTCAACTGATGAAATTTCACTACTTCATCAACTTATTTGCCATTCTTACCTATTACGGATTTCCTAACAACTGGATTACTTACTCAGTGGTCCAAGAATATACGAGCAATGTTTCGAAGACACCTATGATCGAATACTAGTAACCTACGAATATCCTCTACTCTTACCGGCCATGTTTCACTGCCATAAAGTAGGACGGAACGAACCGCTGCACAGTAAACCCGTCCTTTGGTTGGTGGACGGATATCTCGTCTACGTCATAAATGACGCAACATTTGATAATCATTAAACCATTTTTTTATTAAACACAATGATTAAAAAAAAACTAGAAAATTGATCTTTTATAATATTGTATAAATATGGGTCACAGGAATCATGTTAATATATTACATATCTCTACCGTCTAATCATAATTAGTTTGTACTTACCTTAGACTTATCATGGTAAATATTGACTTTAATTTATCATTACAAGTTGTATAATGAATTCGACTATTATATCTTCTATACAAAATAATAATAATTTGGTGTATATGTATGTTGTACTTAATATATTGAGCTAATATTATCATTCTATCAAAAATACAGAATTCAGAAAATCATTAGGTTTGTGCACTTCGGATAAATGGTAATTTATAAGGAAATACATTTTTTCCAATGACTCAGTAATTCATGTATTAACTTTAAAGCTGTTAAGTTAGGTACATTAGTATACTGAGAATTATAAGTGGATCATACTAGTGACAAGAAACATTTTAACTTAACAATTTGATCTATAGTTGACAGATAACTATAACCAAAAATTTGATTGTTTTATTGTTTTGCTTTGTTGAAATGGTTAGCATTGAAGAAAAGTAGCTCTGGACATTAATTAAGTTCCAGTTTGGTACTTGGTAGTAGTTTTTCTACTTCTTTAACTCTTGGTCTGCATGTTTTTGGTCTCAAACAGCAATTCTATGGTTTGCCAATATTTTATGGTATTCAGTGGACAAATTGTAAATAGTTTCATCGAATTAACTAGTTTATGAACTAATGCAAGTTAGACCACCATTAAAAATTTGAAAGCACTAGATGTCCATTTCGTCCTAGTATGGAAATCCTTAGGAGTGCGCGTTCACAATCCCACACTCAAGACTCAAACCCAGAACCTTCGATCTAGCGCGTAAACAATTAACCTGTAGACCACTGAGTCAGTATTAAATGGTGTTAATGTCTAACCTCAGTCACCTCATGACATTAAATGACCATCTTCCATTGTCTTTTTCGGGTAACTGCCTCACACCCAACACGGTCTAAGTGACTTGACATCATATGAACTATGTTGGGATATCAGGTGTTTCAAAGTAGTCGGCAGGAAAATAGACAGGAAGTGTTTCATTCTAGTTGGCACTAAATATCTAAACAAATACAGCATTGGTCATTATTCAGTAATCAATCAGTTGTAAATAACTTGTCCCCATTGAAAGTAAGTCACGGAGTAGATGACTGAGCTGTAGAGTCTAAAACTATATAGCTGAGCGATATGTGATCGAACATTTTCCTCAAAATTGTTGGTACGTCTAGATGACATGTGCATGAAACCCTGATAGATCAGAGTTTTTGTATAGTAACTAGCTTTTGTGAGTCGTGAAGCAAACTAGAAAAATGTTTTTATTATAGTGAGTTTGAGTTAAAATTCGAGAGATGCATTATACTTGGATATTTGAACAATTCCCATTCATCTAACTATTGTGCTATAGTAAATCAGTATCAAAAGCGACTATTTATTGGATTTTGATGAATTCATTTGAGGAAAAATGTTGTATGAGAAAATGCACAGTATTGTAAGTAGGCACGTGCTAACATTTTTAAGTGATTTTAGTTAATGAGAAGAGATGTAATGAAGTTCACTTCTTATACCATTTTTGGATGGCAATATTGAATGAACACAATATAAGTATATTAGTTAAAATAGACATATTTCATTATTTTTTCCCGACAGGTTTTGATGATAAACCGCTTTTTTCAGGAACATTAGCTTCTGTTTTATCAGTGAAAATGTCTTTTCTTGTTTATCGTTGCAAAAATCGTTTATTTCATCTGATATTAGGTGGTTGGATATAGTCCGTAGGAAACCCTGCTCGACCTAGGTCCCGTGCTAGTTGACATACTCGTCAGCAAAGTGTACCTGCAGTTGTAAGGCCACTGGTGGTTCCTGTCGGACTCGATTCCATGTCACTCAGTACTACAGCCTTTTGGCGTTACTTCTGGGCTGTTTGGGAAGCGACTGACCTTCTGTAGGACTGAGAAGTATTTACAGTTGTTTGATCCCTGAGTAGTAGTGACCAATGTCATTAGTTTCTAGTCTTTTAAGTGCGGATCGAATTCTTTCTATTTTTGTCTATCGTTTGTGTCATTCGCAGTAATAGAACGACCAGATCTTACATTTGATACAAAAGCAACTCAGTTTTAAAAAACCACTAATCATACGATCTCGCTGATATATAAGTAAAATGATGATATAATTAACACATTTTATTCATATTACACACAGTAATTGGTAATAGTAATATATACGGAATTTCAGGGTCATTAGTATCGAGTTCATAGTTATTGCATCCCAACTATTTCAGTGAATTGGACAGTGATTTTTGATACATTGAGTAGATTTTATAAAAAGCTAACCCCATGTGAAATATTTTTGCTTGGGCAAACTAGTCTTTTCGTATCGGATATTTTAAATAGCTCTGGTGTTCAAGTATATGGCTGATAAGGTTGATTAACATGACTAGATTAGATATTTTGTGCTTTGATTGCTCAAATTTGATGTCCAACAATATTTACTAGTTCGAATGACATAAAACCTGCACACAGCTAGTTACTTTCTGGACACTGTCCCAACTGAACTACTTAGCTCTACTCTTAATTAGTTCTCAGTTTTAATCAATTGAATTATACTCGCTGGTAAACCAGTTTTGTTCTCCTAGTCTATTTCGTCTCTAAAATCAGGGAATAATATGCATTAAAAAGGTGAAAAATAAGTCCTAGTTAAACAATTGGATCTCCTACATCAATTACTATAACACATTACCAGGTCAGTGAAACCTGGACACTTCTTCTTTGGATCTTGTCACAGTCTTGACTTTTTGTCAACATCAGTTATTCCACATATTTGACAGAAATCCCATTCGGTTAACCTTGTCCACTTTCGCTATTTCAATTAATTAGTAAGCGGTCAGTGATATAATTTAATAATCAATGTTTTTGGTCGAAACATTTTCACCTTATGATATTATATAGACTGACTTTATATAACAGGTTGATTGATTAACCATTGGCAAGTTCTATTCGATCAAGTCTTAATAAAATCTTACCAGTTATAGATGTAATAATAACTTGATTTCCAGAGATGAGTCCCGGATTTTTAGTGAAAAAAACCGTGGCGAATGGAGTTCAACTGTATTGAATGTAGAGGAGCCCACCGACGACACTGAAAAATGGTCGCATAAAATTGCAAAGTAATTGAAACTGAACATGTAAACCGTAGGATGCTGGGTTAGCGATCTAAAGGTTAAGGCTTTACTGAGAGAGACTTGAAAGTTCTAAGTTTAGTTCTCAACATATTATTGAGGAGTTCTATACTGTTAACTACTTCCTGAATCTCAGTGAATTTCTAACTAAGTTTGGTCTGTGATTTTTGTTTTAAACACATTGGACTTCTGTTCATAATTAGTTATAAAAATATCAGTTACTGTTATTTTGCAAGAAGAAAAACATATCACATTTTCTGTCAAACTTTTTAAATGTACATAATGCTGACTAGTGTTGGAGACAAATAGAAGGAAGTTAAGAGCAGCCAAACCGAAACGCGGTATCAGTCCAGAAAGTCACCAACTTCTGGTTTGAGCCATGTCGGTAGATTCAAACTACTTGGTTGGGGGCCGTGCAACTGTCGTAACTAACGGATAGTTAATCTGGGTGACATGGCTCAGAATCGATCACAGTGGCGTCGGTGTATACACTCTTTGTCTTCCCTTAAACCATGAGAATGAAATTAATTTATACCTTTCTTCCTACGAACTAATTCTGTCTGTCTTATATGCAATCACTTTTTTATATATTACTACCATCGAAGTAACTGCTTCTATGAATTTGGTGCTCATTTTGTTGTGCTAATAAGGTATGGTAATTTGAATCAATGCGTGTATCTGCCTAGTCCTACCTTGTAGGTGATTGACTGACTGAAATTGTTTATTATTTTACACTATAAAATGTTATCTCTAGAATTGTTTTTTTCTTTTATCTTTCCAGGTGGAATATTAGCGTTTCGTTTTGGTCCTAAATGGGTTATTTTTTCTAGTTTATTTGGATGTGCTATCACGGAATTTTGTGTACCAACTGCAGCACGTATTCGTGCTGAATTATTAATCACTTTACGTGTGATACAAGGTCTTCTTCAGGTAAATTATTAAGCGCTTTTTTAGAATTAATCATTTAATTAATTAATTAATCAATCAATTAAATGGTTGGTAAGATTACTGATTAAATTGGTTTCATGAAACAACTTGTATTATATGTTAGTTTTCACTGTGCACTATAACAAAAGTTTTCAGTTATTTTGTGTCTTTTTATTGTTGATTACAATGAACAAAATCACCCTACCTTGATTATACTTACACATATTCATTCGAAGTGACATAGATATATTTCTGCTGAAAAATTTTTAAAGAATGTTTGTTCTTCATTCTAAATTAAATTCTAGTCATATTGATAGGTTCATCTTATTGTGTTGATTTGATTCTGGCAATCTGTAACAGACTCAACGTTGTTTATCATTAACTCAAAATGGGCACTTGAATTCTAATAGAGTAGAATATAACCAGTTAGTGTTCAATTATTTTTTTTTATATCTTGGTATCCATCACTCATTACTCACGAAGACACTAGTATACAAGGCTACTTTTCATCACTCATCCACAGAGATGGAGAGATAATTATTGAAATGCTTGGTGGTTGACAGGAAACCCTTCTCATTCTAGGTTTCTTACTAGTTGACACTTGTCAGGAAAGCATACCTACAATCTTGAATTCAAACCCATATCACCTAACTTCATAGTGCAAAGTATTACCATTAAGCTATTCACGCTACAACTGACCTCTTATAGCACTGTGGTATTTACAATTGATTGATCACTCAACAATAATCAGTTTTGTATTTGCCTAATCCTTTCAGTACTGATCAAATTTGATCGAATACTTATTAAAATCCATACTTTGCCAAATACAGTAATTTCATTTCAATTTCTTATAAAACACTAACTGATTATTATCGTAATTCCTGTGCAAAACATAGAGATCGTTTTTTTTTGTTTTATTTCAAATCAACACTGATTGTGTGTTTGTTTTCCAATAATGATTCGTAAATAAAAATGGAGTCATCAACTACTTTCTAGTTTTTTTTAAAGGATTTTATTTCAGCTATTATCCATTTCATGATTCAACCAAACTCTTAAATCAATTAATATTTTCTAAACAATCTACGGTCTCCATAACAGCACTAATAATTAGCGATCCAAGCTTCATATTACGAAAAATTGCAAGTAATTCTAAAAATATATTGTAGAGAAAATAAACACGATTTCGCATCACATACCGTAGTTTATTCCTATAGAAAATTACAAACGGAAAGCACCTATAAGTGCTTTTTTCGCTTATGTAGAATATGAATGGAGGAAAGATGTTGGTTATTAACAAAGTGGTCTTGAGTGCTGTTAGAGGTATGAGGGCGTTTATCACTTCCCGGTTGCCCACACTGTGGAAGGGTTCTTCTGGAGGTACCTGAAAAGGAAATTTGATTAGAGGTGGTCTTAGAGACCTGAGAGCGTGACCGTAGTGCTCAAGGGACAACTGCTTGAGATCAGTCACACACGACCTTTTTGTGAGTAATTTTCGTGTTAGCTCTGTACTTGTTGGGACCTTACTATCAGAGATGGGAATTCGTGGGTTAAGGTGAGGTGTGTATTTTCAGGGTCGACCATTTCTAACCCCACCCTTCCTTGTGGGAAGGGAACATCACTGTTATGATGGTTGTCTGAAGGAAACACCTTACTGCCGTCACACCTCTGTACAGTCAGCCGTACGACTTCGCCTTCGGACCTTGGGTTTGCTGCTTTTAGTCTTACCGCTCTTCAACCGACCTGTCTTGAATGGTAGGACCTTGATGAACGATTGCTCCAGCCAATATAGGTCAGTTGCTTCACCACGATAGGCAAGCCTGGCCACCACGTCAAGGTAGCAACAACGCTCGGGAATATGAATGGAAGATTAAACACTGATTTGTATTTCTCAACGATGAATCAGTGCGAAATTCATAACTTCCCATTAAAAAATACAACAAACTTCCAGGAAAGAAAATTTCTCTTTCTCAAGATCTCATTTTTAAAACAAACTAATTGTTGTAACGTGTGGACTGCGGATTTTGATAAGCAGTGTTTATATCGATCGGTTACAGTGGACACGCAAGGACGACCTAGAGTTCCGATTGGTCCCGCTTCCCTGTCTAGCCCAGCCAGTTGAGTGTAGAATGCAAGTCACAGCCTCTGAGTTATGAATCATTGTATTTCAGACATACTCTATTTATATACTAACCAAACAAACCACATCGTACCATAAAATAGAAAACAACATTTACACAATATTTAACAAGTGAAACAAATATCGACCAATAGGGAGTGTACATTTAAGGTCCAATGCCACCATAGACTTAACACGATAATTATTGGTATATTTTTACGACTATCCTAACACTAATTATTAATACAATTTGTCAAATACACATTCTTTATTTACTAAACTATGAATTTGTCAGTCCATTTGGATACCAAATTGATATAGATGTCAGTATAGGGCCACGGAGATTGTTGAGTTTTTGTTTTGTTTATGACCTGATGTAAGATTGACCACCACTGAAAACTTGAAAGCACTAGTCGTCCGTTTCTTCCCAGTGTGGGACTCCTCAGCAGTGCGTATTCACAACCCCACACGCAAGACTCGGGCCTAGGACCTTCGATCTAGCGCGCAGACACTTAATATCTAGACTACTGAATGGTGTTAATATATAACCTCAATCACTCTATGACATTGAGTGACCATCTTTTATTATCTTTGACGGATAACACTAATACCTGACACGGTTGAACTCTACTGGCCTCGGTTTCTCACTAGAACTCCAAAAATTACCTCTCGGATTTAGTTACTAGTGAGCACATGATAATTATCAGTACCGGATTTTGGAAATTGTTGAGTTCATACTGAGATCATGAACCGATCTAAGTTAGACCACCAATGAAAACCTAGAAGCACTGGACGGCCTTTTCGTCCTAGTATATATATGATTTACAACAACCAAATAATACTCATCGAGTAGTTACATTACGTAATACTATATAATGACGGACTGATTATAAAATGATATTGAGTAACTGGAAGAAACTGGATTGTAAAAATCAAAGTAATTATTCGAAAAATCAAATAGTTGCTACGTTGCATAATATATAAAAAGAAAGAACTAACACAATATTTTGATGAACGATAAGTGTTATGGTAGTTATGTAAGAGTCAAGAGACGAATTCGAGAAAATGTAAATTACAAAAGTGGATGAAATTAAAAATAGTTTAAATGGTTTTGAAGGAAAGGGTTTCGTCGAAGTTCAGCTACAAACTCACTTCTATACCAATGGCCAACGTAGCGAGAATGGTTGTACAGAATTTTTTTTGGATGCGAAGGTTAGATATGTGAACATGGATTCTGATGGCTCTAGGAATGCGCAAAAGGCGAACTCATTAACCATGCGGCGAATTTGATAGGATACAGTAAATAATCTTAAAAGCTTTATTTAAGTCAACTTGATGACCTGTGTTCACCAAGTGAGCGAGAACAGAACTTTTAATCACTCTTACCTATCATTTGCTCAATCAAGACTAATTGAAAAGAAATTTCTTCAGTTTGCTCTTTTTGTCATACGTCAAAATATTAATTCTAACTACATATATATATCTGTTTAGTTTGGTGGGTGTCAGTCATACTATAGGTCGAGCCAGAAACAAGTGTACGTTGGTCCAAGTTATTATGTTATACTAGTGCGTTAAGTTGAAAATAAAAGGACAAATAACAGAAGAATCAAAATATTGTAGTTTCAATAATAATTAGAAAGACTGTACATTGAAAATATGGTACGAAGAGACAGTATAAAAATGTATGTATGAAGAAATACTGAAAATCAAGATTTAGAGAAAGATAAAGAATGAATATATATGCACTGTTGTCGAAAATTCTGATCCATATTGCCCAAAGGTTTTAACTACCAATTGCATTTATTACGCGGACTCCAACCATTTGGTCTGTTTCGGCTAACATGATTGATATCAATAGTTAATGAATTCACGAACTACCATGTTATACTTTTGTCACTCCTAACATTCTTTGAACCTTCTCCCACATCAGCAAATATTACTCATCAAGATAGGCGGTTGTTAAGGATACGTCATATGTGTCCTAGTCACCTCAGTCTAGAAAGATTCGTCACCTCATCAATTAGTTCACCAGTATCGATGATTTTCATACAACATACATACACGTCTGAGAATTATGTACACTGATCACATTCACATTAAATATCATTTTACTATAGAAAAGATATGTCTCTACTTTTTCCCATCTTAGCGTAAGAGGAAATTATGGTGAAATTCAAACAGTATTGAGTTGTAAAATACACGTTTCATGAATAAACTTTATTTGCCAACTTACAAAAAATAAACAACGCTACATTTATACAATCGTATGTATTATTGTTAGCGAGAAGATAGAGAGACGGAAAAAAACTATTTGTTTGATGTTAACTATCTATTTTCCAAGTGATTACTTATTTTTTATTATGGTACAAAAATCACACTACGTAATTGTTAGTTAATCTGCTTAATATGATTTCTTAGAACAAAAAATAATTAACATTGTGATCATCTAAAAGGGGTTTTGTAGAGACTGTAGTAATCTAATCGTTAAATTCATGAGTCAATTAAAGTTAGACCACATTGGAAAACCTGCTGAGGAGTCCTATACAATAATAAAATGTCCATCCTGTGCTTCCAGGTTTTTTCAATGTGGTCTAGCTTTAATCGACTCATGAATTCAACTACTAAATATGACCATCTGTTAAAGGTTCTATTGAATATTGAATTGACGTAATTGAAACCTGATTCAGTGTGGTTCAACGTTTCAATTGTGTCTGTTCGTTTTTTTTTAGAAGGAAACGAATTTATCAATCTCATAAACATGACTGATAGCCACACTAACAGATAATGACGATAATTGAATGATTCTTGTTCGTTTGTTTTTTATGACATTTTTGGTTCTTACTTTTGTGCTTTTATGATCAATTAGTATTTTTGATCAAAAATAATG